GAATTGTATTACTCTTGAGCATTATAAATGATATGAATAATATAAAATATTCTTTTTTTGAAGCTAGTTCAAATGATATTTATCATTTAATTGATAAAGTTTATGTAATAGTAAAATAAACACAGTGACAACGCAGATAACCTTTTTGTAACTCGTAAGTTAAGAACTGGATATTTTGAAACTTTTTAATAAATACGTTCTTTTATAGTGTTATAATGTACATACTTTATAAATGATATTTTAAAACAAAAACAACTATTCTTTATATTATAATTTATATTATAGTTTATTTCCACCACAGATATTATATTATAAAATGTTAATAAAATATATATTTAAAATGTTAATAATATATATTTTTATTTATATTAATGAGATTTCTTGGATGTTTCACCTCCTATAATTTTACGTCTTTGAGCAAACATGTGTAAATATAAACGTGGGAAGACTGTAATAAAGAAAAAAAATTAATATCTGAACAATATATACAACAATAAAGTTCTGAAAAACTTACTAGGAATGTATGATACCATAATAGCTACAAGAACACAATAGTAACTAAAGATGAAATTCCACGAGTTAGGAAGTCTGTAACTCCAGAAATCTGGATGAGAACTTGTATAATTTACAGCTGAATATAAGCATAACAATTCTCCAGTTATACCTATTGGATATAATGCAATAAATAATGTGTACCTGTAACAATTAAAACATTTCAATTTTATATGTTGAAATATAGATATCATTGTTCATATAAAAAAGCTCTAATATAAATTGTTAAATTACATACCTTAACCATGTAAGGAGATAAGGAACAAAGTTATTGAGATTCAAATAATAAAATAAATATCTAATTATTTCTGTTATTGACCATGCTAAGATGGCTAATGGAAGACCAAAAGATGATGCTGCATAACTATCTGGAGTTGCTAATAGTACTCCACTTACAACTATAACACGACTAAACACTTGAAAAGTTGTAATTACAAGATTTGATTTAACTAAACCAGTCATAGCATGGAATATCTGTAATAATAATAGTTAATTTTTTATGAACAAAATCAAACTTAATATTAATGTTTACCTCCAAAATAGCAGCATGTTGAAAGATAACAATAGGCCATTTAACATTGTGCCATAAAGTTGCTTTTGTTATAGAAGAGTAATCATTTACCACAAATTTATAAAATATATAACTCCAGCTGCAAGTGCAATAATTTTGTAAGTATTTGCAAAAATTTTTTATAATTTTTTATATTTATTTTTTATTATTAACATTAGGTACATCTTTTAATAAAAAAGATATTAAAAATTAATGCAGAAAATACAGAGATTTCAGTCAATGAATTTTGAAAACATGATAATGATAAAATGTTTTATTATATCTATTTATTTCATAATTATAGTAATATCATTTCATAATACTTACCCAAGAACTTGTAGCAAATTATAAGTTTTTAAATATAATAGTCCGATATTATTTGATTTCTTTGATTTCATATTTACGTTCTTTAATTCAGAGCGATTTTATTTACTTATATAACAATATTATTTTATTTATTCATATAACAATATATATATTTTACAAGAGCAAATAAATTATTATATTTTCGTATACTTTTCAAATTTATAATCTGTCGAATGGAGAAAGCAAATTAATGAAATCGTACGTTGCGTGTTACACTATATTCTGCTTCAATCAGGAACGTAGCAACTTTATGAAATTCAAGTACCTTCAACGATTTAACATTGACATTTGAATATATATAAAATTATAATTAGGTGCAAACTTCACAATCTGAATATCATTGCTTTTAATGAAGTTGCATTGTTAATGTAAGAGAGAATAATTTTTTAAAAACACAAAACATTAATGTCAATAATTTAATTCTCAGGTATTAGAGTAAAATTTCATTAAAAAGTTATTCGAAATATCGATTGTTATAGATTTATTTTTTAAATAATTTCTAATAATTTTGAATTTTTGTTTTTTTACAATTTTAATTTTATTTTTTAATTTATATACTAAAAAATATTAAAATAATATAAAAAATAAATTGAGTAATATATTAAAACATGTGTTATTTTTTTGAATATACGGGGAGATTGATATTTATGAACAAATACTATGATATTTATAAAATTAAAAACAAAGTTCGTCATTTATTTACATTTTAATTCTTCATGTCTTGGATCAAAGATCAATACTTAATGAATTCAAAAAGCGAATACGAAATAAGAATTCATCAACATTTCAGTAATTAAACTCATTTTGCTTACATGCATATTTTATGAAGAACTATACTATGTTCTACTAAAATACAAAAATGTTCATTTTAAGACTATTTTTAAGTAAATAATAAAGCTAATATATAATTAACATTTTTCTAATTATTAAAATTATTTCATTTAATATTCGTGGACAATTATTGTAGTAGTTTTAAATAGAAAATATAGTTCTTTGCAAATTTGAAAATTGATTACGTTACATGCTTTTTGAAATAAGCTCACAATATAAATATAAAGTCAATAGATCGAAGATATTTGTTATCGAGATTTACGTTAAATTATGTTTCTGATACATTTATCCATTATTTCAAATTTTATCAGAATTATAAGAGAAAAAGAATTTTTAGAGGTTAATGACGCATTCGTTTCATTTTATCATCAAATACAAACAGCAAGTATTTGAATGTTAGTAGAGTATTTATACATACCTAAACACATGAAAATGCAGTGGATGAATTTTCGAAGATTTCTTGAAGCAGTGAAAAGAATTAATTTATTAAATAAGCGTCAAGTTAGCATTAATTGCAAGACTGTTGTTTGTAGTTCTGATGTAGAACTGGCTAAGAAAAATGGATTACCAATTGTGGCTTTGGAATCTACAATTATTACTCATGGGATGCCTTATCCTGATAATTTGAAGACAGCCATTCAAGTGGAAAATGTTGTCAGAAAGAAAGTAATTATTTATAAATTATTGAAAAGGAAAGAAATTATTACTTTTTCTCTATTTTACTTTTGTGTCATTTTAGGGTGCTATACCTGCAACTATAGGAATATTAAATGGACAGATACATGTTGGTTTAAACAATGAACAACTGCAAACATTAGCTAAATCAGATTCTATTAAAACTATTAAATGTTCACGCAGAGATATATCAACAGTTGTTGCTCAAAAACTAAATGGAGGAACAACTGTTAGTGCAACAATGTTAATAGCAAATTTACTAGATTTGCCCATAATGGCAACAGGAGGTATTGGCGGTGTTCACCGTGGAGCAGAACAGACTTTTGATATTAGTACTGATTTAATAGAGCTTGGACATACCCCTGTAGCTGTTGTTTGTTCTGGTGTTAAATCTATATTAGATATTGAAAAGACATTAGAATATCTGGTTAATATATTTTCTTCTTGCATAAAAAATAATTATTACAATAGAAACTAATAATCATTTCTACTTGTAGGAAACACAAGGAGTTCCAGTTGTAAAAATTGGTAAAACAGACTATTTTCCTGCATTTTACTGCACTGAAACATTCCAGAGAACAAAAGTGCCACATATTGTATCAAATTCACAAGAAGCAGCAAAGATTCTTAAAGCACAAAGAGAATTAGGTCTTCAAACAGGATTATTGTTTGCTGTCTCTATTCCTGAAGAATATGCATTAGATTCTAAAGAAATGGAATTAGCCATATGTAATGCTTTAGAAAGTGCAAAGAGTAAAAATATAAGTGGAAAGAATGTCACACCATTTTTGCTAGAAGAATTAAATAAAATTACGCATGGTCAATCTCTTCGAGCTAGTGAGTAAATAAGTTCTTTGATATAAAAATAAGAAAGACATAAGCTAGATTGGTATTTCTCACTTAATTTTTATCTTTTTAAAATTAACAGACATGGCATTCATAGAAAATAATGCAAGTGTAGCGGCAGAAATTGCAATGAACTTGGCTGAAAAATGTTCCCAAAGTTCTCTCAACAATAATGCATCCAAATGCACCCTGACAGCAGAACAAAATCCAGTAAATAAAACAAAAATATTTGCATATCCTAAAAAGTGTATAATATTGTTTACCTTATTTCCTCATTCTGTAATTTGTTTATGTTATAGATTGTAATTGGCGGCGCTATAATGGACACTACGTTGCAAGTGAAGGAATCTGAGATAAAAGTAAGTCAAGTCTTAAGTCAGGATTATACTAAATAACCAATTTTCCTTGTATTCATATTTCAGAGGAGTTATAGAACGTTTAACAGTATTTACATACAATTACGACCACATAGGTTTTATGTACATTTAAGAATATGTATTGAATAACACGAACTCATAGTGTAGTATAGGGAAGAGTGGTATGATACAATAATATAATATGAAAATCATAACGTATGATTAAAGCCAAAGTTAAAATGTTCATGCAGTGTATCGAAATTAAGTTAATCAAACGTTCTACAAGGTAGAACATTTTGAAAAAAGATACTCGTTCGAATTAAATTCTTCCAGGTTGTGTCTTAATGTCTCAATCAAAAATTGTAGTTGTAAGTATTCTGTCAAAAAAGTTCGAGATAAGCGTTTCCCGTTGTGCATAGTAATATGCATGATTATGAAAGTATAACGAACGCATTTTATAATCTAGTTACATTTTTACCCATACTTGGCTATGGTAGTCCTATTGGGTTTACCATGTACGAAATAACGTACATACCATATCTAACCATTTACAGATACAGTAAATTAGGTTTCTTAAGCAGGCACTATTCAAAGCTCCCTCTCTTTCATTCGTCTCGATATACGTATTACATTTAAATGTCAATCAGTTACAAATTACTACACATGTTGAACCATTTTTAAAGCCTTTCTCATTATAGAATTGTTATTCATTGTTGTCTGGATATATGTACGTCTAACTAAAACATAGAGTTACGAGTCTTTCGTTCGTTTAACGAGTATACGATTTAACGATTGAACGAATCGAAGGAACGAATTAAAACGTG